GGCAGTTATTTCGGGATCGGGAAATTAAGCCTAGCAAGATATTCGGGATTTGATATGAGGATGTCCATCGTAACTGCTGTGTAGTCGTCCGAGCAGGGAGTTCTGGATGTAACTCTTCATTCCGGTTGTAAAGGAATTACTGTCGTACGTCCGAGGTGTGGCACCTCGGACCTGCCCTTACACTACTCCCCCCTCCCTGAAGTCATTCATTTATGAATGATGTTGTTGGAAGTGATAGGGTTAGTGCATAAATAGAGCAGTGCAGCTGGGGCCGAAGTGAATTACGTGACACTGGGTCACTGTGGCCGGAGCTGAAGTAAATCGTGTGGCACTGGGTCACTGTGGCCGGAGCCGAAGTGAAGCGTGTGACACTGGGTCACTGTGGCCGGAGCCGAAGTAAATCATGTGACACTGGGTCACTGTGGCCGTAGCCGAAGTAAAGGGTGTGACACTGGGTCACTGTGGCCGTAGCCGAAGTAAAGCGTGTGACACTGGGCCACTGTGGCCGGTGCCGAAGTAAATCATGTGACGCTGGGTCACTGTGACCGTAGCCGAAGTAAATCATGTGACGTTGGGTCACTGTGGCCGTAGCCGAAGTAAATCATGTGACGCTGGGTCACTATGGCCGTAGCCAAAGTAAAATATGTGACACGGGGTCACTGTGGCGGGAGCCATCAGGTCGGTTGACGAAGTAAAATACTTACCAAGATTTTAAAAGGTTTAAGTACCATTTTGGTCCCTCAACTTGTCACTTTGGTACCAAAATTATCCCTCAGCTTTAAAAAGTACCAAAATTATCCTTAAACTTTCAATTTTGGTACCAAAATGGTCCTTCCGTCAGTTAAGTGCACAGGTGGCACATTAAAATGCCACAAAATCACTGATTTTTTTTAATTTTAATGACATGTAAATCCAACAAATAAAATCTTGCCACCATGGCATGTTTTTATACACGTGGTATATTTTTTTACACGTCATATTATCATTTTTTTTTACTTTCCCTTTTAATGGGGTCCACATGACATTTTTTTAACTTTTCTTATTCTTTCTCTCTCTCCTCTCTTCCCTCTTCTTCTTCCTCTCCAGGAGTCGCCTGTGGATTCTCCGAGAATAAACCACAACGCTGCCGGTAGCTCCTTTCCACTATGTCGGAGTCGTTCGCCCATTCGTTGCTTGTGCCTCTCTTCACTACTAGATCTCGAGAAGTCGGCTGTGGATACTCATCGAATAAACCATTGCTTGTGCCTCTTCAACGGACGAAATGCTGGTTCGAGGTCGCGTGAGTGGCGTTCCACCAAGGATCTCTCAGATCGGTGTCAATGATGGTCCTGGTGATGGTCGCTGCTTGATGCCGGTGGATTATTGCTAATGTGATGAAACCCAGATCTGGGTTTGCGAGAGGAAGAAGAAGCGAGGAGACAGAGAAAAAGAAAGAATAAGAAGAAGAAAGAAGAAGGATGAGGTAGAGTTTTCCAGATCAAGTACGCCGCCAAGGCTGTCGATAACAGTGGGTTTGTTTTGTTGTGCATTGAGCTTGTCATTTCAATTTCCTCAGGATTTTTTTTTCTGTTGTTTTAGAATTGTGATTGGCATCAAGTGCGAAGCTGGGATTGTTATGGTTTGCTTTATCGTCCCCAATTTTGGTGTCTGTTGAATCTTGCTTGTGGATTCGTATGTGAATGTAATTTGTGGATTTGGGAGTTTCAAGGTGTGGAGAAAACCCTCCGTTCTGGTGTGGATTTGTGTTGAAGATGATGTTGCGTGGTTTCGATTCCATTGCCATCGATTGTTCTTATTGGATTGAAAGAACCCAGATCTGGGTCAAACCCAGATCTGGAGAGGAAGAAGAAGAGAGAAGAGAAGAGAGAAAGAATAAGAAAAGTTAAAAAAGTCACATGGAATCGAAGAACCTAGGTTCCTAGGTTTCGCGAAGAACCTAGGTTCCTAGGTTTCGCGAAGAACCTAGGTTCTGGGTTTCGCGAGGAACCCTTGTCGAACCCAGAACCTAGGTTACGCGAGGTTCCTTGAAGAACCCAGTTTCTGGGTTCCTCGCGGAACAAACCCTAGTATTTCTTCCAGTAATTTCACAATTTCACTTCATTTCCATAGCTCTGAGCACGAAATTCATATTCTTGGTGATTGGTTTGATCAATTTTGAAGTTTGGGATGGTAAAGGTAGTTTTTCTTTGCTCTGTTTCTTTAGCTTCTTGCTTTGTTTGGTAGCTGAGAAAATATTTCTGATCCCCTTTTGTTTTTGTTTGGTTGCTGAGAAAATTTTGCTTTGTTTGTTTTTGTTTGGCCTTCGGGAACTCAACTGAAACTGGAAAAGGAAAACAATTTTTCATGTGGGCCCCACAAAAATTGAATCTGAAGAGGGAGAGCAATTTGACGTGGGAAAAAATGCCACCGTAGCAAAATTTTGTTAGCTGGATTTACACGTCATTAAAATTCAAAAAAAGCAGTGATTTTGCTGGCAAGTTAACGTGACACCTGTCATTTAACTGACGGAAGGACCATTTTGGTACCAAAAATGAAAGTTTAAGGATAATTTTGGTACTTTTTAAAAGTGAGGGACAATTTTGGTACCAAAGTGTAAAGTTGAGGGATCAAAATGGTACTTAAACCATTTTAAAATGTACAAAATCGGAAAAGAGTGTTGAAATGGGCTTAGGTGGGCCCGTCTGAGAAGTCTGACTAAGACGCGGCACGTGACGCGACAGTTGTCCTCTGAATGACGTGCGTAATAAATGCGACCGTAAAAAGAGAAGTGCAGCAGTTAAACAGGCAAATTTAAAAATGAACCGACGGGTTCAAAACGGTGTCGTTTGATGGTTATCCGTCGAATTCGAAACGGTGTCTCCGCAGCTGTTAGATGGGGTGAATCACAGCCATTGAGGCGTGTT